AATACAAACTGAAATTTTAACGAAATTAAAAATCTTCCATTGATATAAACCCAATTATTTTTTAGGATACTTCAATGCATATGTTTATATGTTACTGACTTGTTTTCACGGATAGAAAAATTAAAGTTTACAAAGTTCGAAGTCGAACCACTTTCTTTAGGCGGTGCGCTCGAAAGTCGAAGCCGTGTTGACATATCAAAATATTGGGACCATTCAATTTTATACAAATGTCCAAACATTATTTCGGTTTGAAAAATAAACAAATTAGAAAATTCATTTTTTTATTGGATTCACTTGGCAACAGCCAACAACGAATCAAATAATCTAATACATAATTATATTAGAAGCTGTGAATGTGCCTCCAACTAGACAAAAGCACATGCACCATAAATGATCAAACCCATGAAACTTCCATCTCTCTCTTTTTCCCCTATATAAACTAATGTCACTTACCTCAATATTCCATCAACAATAAACATCTGAGATATCAAAACTCCTAGAGAGATCTAATAAAATGAAGTCTTTTGCGTTCTTGGTTCTCTTTCTCTTTGCAGCACAATCTATGAGCGTCTACGCAGGCAGCTTCCACAAAGACGTTAAAATACATTGGGGTGATGGTCGAGGAAAGATTCACGATAATGAAGGAAAACTTCTTTCTCTCTCGCTTGACAAATCCTCTGGTTCAGGTTTCCAATCTAATCAAGAGTTTCTATATGGCAAAGCCGAAGTTCAAATGAAACTTGTCCCTGGTAACTCCGCTGGAACCGTCACAACATTCTATGTAAGTAACATGTAACATTCTTGTCATGTTTTGCTATTTCATTGTATATTGAAACCACTTGCTTATATGATGTTCTAATTTGTGTAGCTTAAATCTCCGGGAACTACATGGGATGAGATTGATTTCGAGTTCTTGGGGAACATTAGTGGTCATCCATATACTCTCCACACTAATGTCTACACAAAAGGCTCAGGAGACAAAGAACAACAGTTTCATCTATGGTTTGACCCAACCGCTAACTTCCACACTTACTGCATCACATGGAATCCTCAAAGGATTATGTAAGTGTATTCTTTAATCAAAACTCCTTCCCTTGTACATATATAATATTTATGTATGAGGATATAAGCTCATGAACCAAGATTCTTTTTTTCTTCTCTCCAGTTTTACTGTTGATGGAGTTCCAATTAGAGAGTTCATGAATGCCGAGTCACGTGGAGTCCCATTCCCAACGAAACAACCAATGAGGCTCTATGCGAGTCTCTGGGAAGCAGAGCATTGGGCTACAAGGGGAGGATTAGAGAAAACAGATTGGTCAAAAGCTCCTTTTACCGCTTTTTACAGAAACTACAATGTCGAAGGATGTGTATGGGCTAATGGAAAATCAGCTTGTCCCGCAAATGCTCAATGGTTCACTCAAAAACTCGATTCGAATAGCCAGACAAGAATGAAAGGGGTACAGAGTAAATACATGGTTTACAACTATTGCGCCGATAAAAAGAGGTTTCCTCGAGGTGTTCCTCCAGAATGCAGCTAAATTCTTGATTCTTTGATTCGTGAATAAGTTACTTGCATTGTCTTTGTAACTCAATGGTTCTTCTTATCTATTATTTTTCATTGATTTGTTGCTCATATAAATCTGGTGTTTGTGTAAGATTTTTAAAGCAATAATAAATATTGAGATTTTCTTTTTACAACTTCATTGGCTACACTTAAAACTCGTAAAACTTTGAAAACAGTTCGGTGCTTGATGGATAATAAGCTTACCAGATTGGTCAAATCATACACGAACGGCCCAAGTTTCAACATACATTTATGTTTAAGGTCAGTTACAAGCTATGTCGTGGAAAAGACTCTGCTCAGTAGGAAATAGGTATTCATACTTTATTTTAATGTTAAAGCCAAAAAAATCAGCGTGAATGGAGGCGAGAGACGGTGCGATATTTTAGTTGTCGTGGACGTCCATATCCCACCATATCTTCTTCATTTGGCTTAATGCATGTAACACATATATTTATTTAATAAAATTCTTAAAATAAAAAAATTCAATATATTATTTTGAATTTGTTCTCCATAGAGGTTGGTATCTTATTTTGTGTGTTAATGTGCGGATATTTAGTTGATTTATCAAAAAAAAACTTTGAAAACCATTTATATAGTTTTATTGATCAATCTTCAATCCAATAGTTTCCGTAAAAATTATTGTTTCTGTAATTTTGAAGTGTGTACAAGGTTTAGTTAAATATTACGACTATTTTGCTCTTTTGGAACGAACGCTAACTATACGAGTCGTCGTAAAATAATCCTATGCGGCGGAGAGGGTTTGCGCTCAAGTCAAAAGTCAAAAGCCGTGTTGACAAATGACCTCAACGCAGGACCAGCATGCGATATATACAAATTAAATGTCCATATACATCTGTTTTATAACAATAAACGAGTAATGGAAACTAGACATTGAAAGACATATATAAATGATTTTTGTTTTTACCTTTTTTCTTAAATTTCAACTTTATTCATCGATACCTTTTAAAAAGGTCACTAGATCATCACCCGTACTGTAGTACGGGTTGCATTTCATTTATTACAAAATTTATATATTATATAGTTATAGAATAAAATCGTGATATATTATAATAGTAAGTAAAAAAATATGAATTTTTTTATGTCAGTCCATATATATAATATTAGAATGAATATATTTTTATTTTTCTGTAATCCTCAATTATGGATATATTTTTTAAAGATATGAAAACGGAAATTAATCTTATTTTCAAAAAAAAAAAATATTGTTTGAACAGTGAGTTAATTTATGCTAACAACCACAAAATGAGAGTGCATATAATTTAGTTAGATCAAAAATCAAAATATCATAAATGAATCGCATCTAAAACGTAGATTATTTTGAATTAGTTAAAAAAGTTAGCTAATATTTTGAATTAATTTAGAAAATTATTTTTTCAAATTCTAATTCATAGGTTGTTGAAATAGAGATTTGTTTGAGCTAATTACGGAATTTACCAATTATTCACATAATCGAATATGTTATGAACATATATTTGGTATATAATAATACCAAATTCGATCCGTGTGTGGAGTCTATATTTTCATTTTACAATCCCTATGAAAATATTGTGGCACAATCTATTATTCATTATTTCCAAAATTGCTTGCATAATTAAATTTTCAAATATTTAGAAGTGTCAAACCTTATTTAACTCATCTCATCATAAAATCTTAAAATGTCATCTATTATAAGGATCATAACTTTCTATCATATAATACATTACTTTTAACCCGCCGCCTACTATAAATATATTAAACATATCTTTTTAGAAAATCAAATTAGTATTTATAATTTTTTTATCTTTTTAATCTATTAAATATTTATGATATTCTTTAATATATTAAATTAAACTTTTTTTAAATGTTCCAAATTAAAAAAAAAAAAAAAAAAAAAAAAAAAAAAAAAAAATATTTAAAAAAAAAAATATTTAAAATTTTTATTGTAGTATGTAAAATTATGAATTTAAAAAATATATATATATATATATAAAATTAAATATAAATATTCAAATAGTTATAAGGATCATAACTCATTTCATCATATAATACATTATATTTAACCCGCCGCCTATTATAAATATTTGTTTCAAAAAATCAAATTAGAGTATTTATATTTCTTAACTTTTTGATCTATTAAGTATTGATGATATTAAAAAAAGGAATATATTACTCAAATATGAATTTTTGACCAGTTAAATTTGTTCTTTCATACATTGAACAATTTATATTCGTTTTTAAAAATTCAAATCTTTGTATATGCGGAAAAAATTTACTTTTTTTTTATTATGTATATGATATAATAATTTATTTATTTTATAGAAATAGAATAATATAAAGATGAGAGGTGAAGTATAATGATTAATAACAAATTAATGTGATAAGTTAGATATCAAATCTTATATGTTCATTTTGATTGGTCATTCTTTTTAAAAAAATTAATAATAGATTTTCGTTTTTATAATTAAATTAAATTAATTAAATTGCATAAAATAGTATTTGACTTGTTTATCCTTAATGAGTTGAATTAATTTACTCTATAAAATTTTATTTCTAATGGCATTCTTAAGTAAATTCTTACAAAAGAGAAGGTTAGTTAAGGGTATCTTATAAAGTGTACTCCCCAAATAATAGTATAGGATAATTTGAAAATTACAATGATAAGCTTACTATACACTTCAACATTACTTTTTTCGGACAGTTCAAATTTCAACATTCACTTTACTTTTTTGTCAAAAGGAATTTTCTTGGTCTAGATATGTTTGTTATGTTTAAGGTTCGTTTCAAGATAATTTTAAGAATGACTTGTTTCAATCTCAGATTCTCAGTAGTGGAAAAGCCTATGCTCATTTGTAAATGGATATTATTAAATCAGTTTTAAGAAAGTTTCCTACGGATTAATGTGTCAAACTAAATCTCAAGGACTATAGCTTACTCTATGTTTTTTGATCGGATACTACCTTCTTCTTCTTTTTTTTTTTTTAAAACGGATACTAGCTTAATCATGCCATTATAAGATTTATGTAATTATGTCTATCACCTGTATATAAATTTTTGAATTTGTTAAACTACTCAGTTCAATCTAGACAAAAGAAAAGTAGACGTATTAAAATACAATTATCTGTCTTTCGAACCCTCCATGCGGTGGAGAGGGTTTGCGCTCAGGTCAAAAGTCAAAGCAGTGTTGATAATGATCTTAACGCGGGACCAGCATGAGATATACGAATGTCTATATACATTATTTTCTCTGTTTTGTAACAATAAACGAGTAATGAAATTATATTTTTATTGGTTTCAATTTGTAACAACCAACAAGAGGTCGAATGAGCCAACTAGAATACAGCCCACGATCAATAATATAACCCATGAAACTTCCTTTTCTCTTTCCTTTGCCATTTCCAAACACTATATAAACTCATGTCACTTAACTCAATTTTTCATCAACAATACATTTGAGATATCAATACTCCTCCACAAATCTACAAAAATGAAGCTTTCTTGTGGTACAAGTTTTGCGTTCTTGATTTTGTTTCTTTTTGCGGCACAATCTGTGCATGTCTATGCGGGTAGCTTCCACAAAGACGTTCAGATACATTGGGGTGATGGCCGCGGAAAGATTCGCGACAGAGATGGAAAGCTTCTTTCTCTCTCGCTCGACAAATCATCTGGATCCGGTTTTCAGTCTAACCAGGAGTTTCTCTATGGCAAAGCCGAGGTTCAAATGAAACTTGTCTCTGGTAACTCAGCTGGAACAGTGACAACATTCTATGTAAGTCACTTAGGATTTCAAAGCATTCTTTTATCACATTTTGCTAGTCCCTAGATTATTGAATATGTTGTTGTTTATGATGACTTTGTGTAGCTTAAATCTCCGGGAACTACGTGGGATGAGATTGATTTCGAGTTCTTGGGAAACCTAAGTGGTCATCCATATACTCTCCATACTAATGTTTACACAAAAGGCTCTGGAGACAAAGAACAACAATTTCATTTATGGTTCGACCCAACTGTTAACTTTCACACTTATTGCATCACATGGAATCCCCAAAGGATTATGTAAGTGCAACCTTCGATCCCTTGTAAACAATCTTATAAGTTTTGAGGTTGTGAGCACATGAACTAACATTCTCTATTCTTTGTTTTCTCCTTCAGTTTTACAGTTGATGGAATTCCTATTAGAGAGTTCAAGAACTCCGAGTCAATTGGAGTTCCGTTCCCAACTAAGCAACCAATGAGGCTCTACGCGAGTCTATGGGAAGCCGAGCATTGGGCTACAAGGGGAGGATTAGAGAAAACAGATTGGTCAAAGGCTCCTTTTACAGCTTTCTACAGAAACTACAATGTTGATGGATGTGTATGGGCTAATGGAAAATCTTCTTGTCCCGCAAATTCCCCATGGTTCACTCAACAACTTGATTCAAATGGTCAGACAAGAATGAAAGGGGTACAGAGTAAGTACATGGTCTACAACTACTGCACCGATAAAAATAGGTTTCCTCGAGGTGTTCCTGCAGAGTGCAGTTAAATTGTTGATTCTTTGATTCGTGAATAAGTTACATAGCATTCATTGCCTTTGTAAGTCAGACGAGTTTTTATCTATTTCTATCATTCATTTGTTGCTTATATATATGGTGTTTGTGTAAATGTTCTTAAGAAGTAATAAAAATCATTATGGAAAAAAGCTTTTACTTGTAAACTTAATTGGTTTCACTAACTTGTAAAAAAATTAAACACCAAGAGACGTGGTTCATTAATTCTACAAGAATGCTTGGGAAGAACATAAATCATAGGCTTACTAATATGAAGAAGAATTGATCTATCTGATATGAACACTGTAGTCTTTGCACTAATTTATATATTACCTCTTTAGAAAAATAATTTCGATTATAGCAAAATAATTGATACATTGTTCTGATCACTTATACTTTTTCTTCAAGAACACACCTGACAAAACTCTTTACAACCAAAGTATGGAATCCCAAAATATAACCTCTACTCTGGAAGCCGTGATCACCTCTTCTTCGAGAGTAGCTATATTCGAACCATCTAGGAATTTATATCGCCTCCAAATTTGATCTCCTCAGAATTGAGTTACATGGAACCAACGTATTACTGAGTGATCTTCTTTTCTTCATTGGGACTAAACCAAACAAACACTTCTGCTTCTGGTCTTGGCAAACAATCATTTTCGAAGTTTGGCGAGAGAGGAATGAGACAGAGAGACTATATCGCCATATTCACATATTTGTGGACACAATTGACACAACAATCAGAATTCGGGCCTCTTCCCTATAATACCATCACCCAAAAATCTTTTCCGGCCTACAAAGATGGTTCTCTCCCTTGCAGAATGGACCGTTTGGGCCTAATCTTTTTCTTCCTAATTGCCTCTATTTACTTGGTTGGATTTTCTTGTTGGGTCTTTATTAATCAGTTATCTAGGGTGTTGTTTTTGTAAACATTGATGATAAGAAAACAACAAATGTGTTTGTACAACCACGGTAAATAAAATCTTGTGAAAACCCATTTGACAAAGAATAATCGTGTATTCTTGAATTCTAAGAAAAATATAAATATAAACGAGTTTAGTATTAGTTTTATTATTTATTATTCATGCTCAGTTTTCATTGAAATTGCCTCACAGCATGTGTTTTTCTTTTTAATTATTATTATTGTGTTTGAAAGTGCTGGTCCTGATAATAAGAGTAATCCATATATTGACCTAAAAGTCAATCCTCATCTCTAAGTCTTCTAGGGCAGGTTCTTCTCGGCCTTGCCAATTGGCCATGATAAAAACAAAGTGAAAACTGACTAGTTTATAATGTATAAAATGACTTGTTACTCAAAAGTTGGTTTCAAAAAGTTCATTTTAATATATTATTAGCTATAATTTTTGGATATGTGGTTATATGCGATTGGAAGAGAGGGTGTGATTGATGCACAAATAAAGTAAATCCATTGTTAGAGTATAATGTAATAAATAAACCATCATCATGCAATAAATTTATAATCTTCGTGTTAGCAGACTATTAGAGAAACCTTTTTTATAAAAAAAACTTAGCATCACTACGATGCCACCGCAAACATTTTGAGATAAATTTCTGATTTAATTTACAAGATAGTACAGAAAACTAGCTTTTGACTGACCTCCAAAAGTTGTAACTTGTAATCGAACGTTCACAAAGACTGATTAGTCAGCCGCTCAGCGCTTAAGAGTTTTTGTTTTTTTTTTTTATATATTCTTCATAATCTATAATAGTTTATTTGGTTTTATGAGAATTAATATTTAGCGCTATAAATTTATATGAGATTTTTTCATGTAAAAAATTGTAGTAAGGACTATATATGATTTTCAGTAAGGCAAGGAAAACAATGTATATATGATATAATGTTTTATTTATGTTTTCTTTTTTGATAATTGTGTTTTATTTATGTTATCAATAAGTGAATATTTGTTGATGTTTATCCAATGAAATCATTTTTTTGGTGTCGAGTGGTCGACGTGAAGTCATTATTTAAACAAGTGGCTAATGGTATTTGGTATATAATATTAAATTAGTGATGATTAGAGTTCAGAGAAGTGTTCATAGTAACATCCTTAATATATTATTATTGGCCATAACAAAGTTTGAAACAGACAAGGAACCTAAAGAACAAACCAAAATAATTACGCTTATCCATTGAGATATATATTTTACTTCATGAAAATGACATTCAGCCAATTATTTTAGTAAAAATAACAAACAAAAATATTTGGTTAGGCACAATTTGTTCTGTAACAAATTTCTATGAATAATTTATTTTCGAAATAATTGTGTGGTTGTGTGGTGAGACTACAACTCTTTTCAAATTGGACATGCGTTGACGAATCCATCGTCATCAGTCTCATATTCCGTGATACTTGACTAATAGAGAACTTTCAAAGAAATATAACTCTGAAATATCAAACTGTTACTGTATATAACGTTCTATAAGATTTTGAAAACATTAAATCGTTTAATATGCTTTGTATTTTGGTAATAAACGTTTTATAACATGTTTATAGATTTAACCGTCTATAACTTTAATCTCTCGAACATATCCGAGACACAAAAGTTTGTGTTTCGTTACCCAACAAAAAAAAAAGTATATCCATCGGTTAATCACAAATCCTCCAAACCATTGGCTCATATGAAACCTTCAGTTTGATGGTTTAGGATTGAAATTTGAATTGGTGATAACGTACTTTAAAAAATCTGGCCAAAAGATATGGTAACCCTGAAAAATTGATTTACATGAATTCGATAAGCACTATAGCTTCAAAAAATAAAGATAATCCAATAACATTTATTAATCCCGGAATTGACAAGACCAGACTTAGTTGTCCGAGATATGGGTTCGTTAGAATGAAATATATTGTTTTGAGTTAATATTGAGATTAGGCCTCTGATTAAGAATTGTTGATGAGCCATTACACTAATAAAATTCATTTCTATATGATACAGCTGTAAAGTAGTGGGACCAAGTTGACGTTTTGGTTAGGCGGTCCAAATCCAAATTTCCGTGTCAAGAAATTTCAGCCAATGAATCATATTCATATGATATGTATATAACTTCTAGTAGTAATAGTGTTTGCTTATCCCATCTTATGGTCCATACTACTATTACTTACTCAAAACTCAAACACGATATACTATTTAAACCCAAACTATCTTTTGTACTTTTTTTTTTTTTTGTCATCTGGTAGAAATTTTATTAAAGATCCGAAGAGCCATAATACAAACCATAACACAAAGTCGGCGACTAACAACGTAATCCCGAAAACTAAGCCGGCGGAAAACAAACATATCCCCGGAAACTAAGCCGGCGGTTAACAACACAACCCCGGAAACTATGCCCAAAGACATGAGAACCTTTTTAACTAACACCAAAAGGCAAAGCAACCCAAAACAAACAAAGGCAACAAAGACAGTAACTGAAGCATGGACAGCAAACAAAGGAAAATCGGAATCTAACCACACAACAACGTCAACCGCAAAGCCTAAAGAGAGGAGAGCCTTCCACGAATGTCACCGAAAGGGATGAAAATCCCAACTAACGGAGAGCGATTCCACCTATAGCGGATGAAGACTACCACACAAAGCAAGAGTTCTGAAGAAATCCGAACGGCGAGACGGGATCTAGGCCAAAAGACATCGTAGACCACAACAGAGCTCCCGAACACGGCGCAATCGAAGGAAACCGATTATTCAACGCCTCGTAGATTCCAATAACGAACTGATGAGATCTCGATCAGATCAATAACGTAGAGACAAGGAGCGAACCCAAACAACCCGGACCATACCGAAATCACTAAAGATCGGCAAGAGATCGAACCAGGATGAACAAAGGCAATCTCTAGAAAAGCCAAAAGCGGATGAACGACGAGGAGGCAAGACCACAAAAGACCGATACCAATGGAGCTACCACAAACTATCTTTTGTACTTACCTCAAGTTATGTCAGTGTAATAATAAAATGAACTTAAGTTAGACAAATGATGTCATTATATTAGTGGAGTTCATAAACTGAGTCATGCTCTCTACTACAAAGGGTAGTTCTTTTATGTGATTAGTCTGATATTCGATGTAATGGTTTGTCATTTGTGTGCTACCGAAGAAATTATCAATATATATTTATGAAAATAATTTTATCATTCTTATATATAGTCTCATCGAACTAGCTTTAACTAAATTATACAAACGTGTTAGTATGGAAAGATTACATTTGTCGATATTCTATAGTTTTATGATATTGTTTGGCAATGATGTGAAAACTCAGTTGTTTTTTTGAAAAAATTTAGACCACTTATTTGTTATTACAACTTTTTGATTGGCATGAAAACAGGAGACAAAAATGGCAAAAAATTGGAAATATCAAACATTGCTTGTTCCTTTATATGAACAAAGGGGATGAAAATAGCTTTGGTGCTTGAAAAAAAATACCTTAGAGTTTGGACCACTCATATTCATTAGTCATTTCCAATAAATATCAGTAGTTGTCCTCATAGACAAACATTAAATTTCTTTTATTTGTGGTTTCCTCAGATTTAATTCTAGCTTAAGTACTGTGGACAGCTGTTTTAATTTGTCAAATGTGTATACCAATCAAATTAAATTTCTGAATTTGATCAACAAATGAAAACCACTCTAATCACAACCACTACTGCGTGCATGCATACAATATAGTATTAATAGTAGAAAATGAATTATTTTACCTTATTTAAGATTAAACAGTATATCTACATGTATGTCTCAGTCGTTCTTTTTTTTCGAAAAACATACAAATATTACGTGTATAATTCAGCTTTACTTTGGTTCATATTCGTTCTTATACAATAGCTTACATCAATAACTATATCATTTAATAGGATTAGAAAGAAAACAAATAAAGTAGACCTATAGGTATGGTTGCACATATTGATTATAGTTTTGTATTTTGCAATGAAACATCTTAATTGACACTCCCATCATTAATTAGTGACCAACCAAAAAAATTGACCTTTTTATTTAGAAGAAAGAGAAAGAAAGCGTGTGTGTGGTGGTACTTGCTTGCAACTTTGCTAACGCAATCAAATCTTTTAACCCATACACTAAACTCATACTTTTCTTCGTTGCTTCTATTCTCAAATCACATAACAATATGGAGTACAATATTATTTTAATCACATCATAGATTCATGCTAATATTGCCAAACATAATTTAAGCTTAAAAATATGTTAAAATGTCCAAAGAAAAGCTCGACGTGAGTCAAAGCAAGTTGTTGTTATTCCAAAACCATGGTCCAGTTACGACCCAACAAAAGGATACATACAAACTTGAAAAGTTATCAAAAAATTTCAAGGAAAAAAAAGATATTCACAAGACATATTCTCTTCAAATTTCAACTAAATTCGAGAATTTGAAGTCGAACAATTCCACACGTAATATACCTCTAGACCTCTTATTTATTCTCTCCCTCCCTATAGGCCTCGCCGTAGTGATCTAAGCTGTATGAAAACATTTGAAATTTCGAGATTCGTGTAAGAAAATTAAAAAATAAGAAACCATGCAACCAATTATATACCAAACCATATTATTAATATATGTTAAATCAGAACACACCAAGAAAATTAAATACTAGTATATAGCATTTACTAATATAAGAGTCTAATTTTAATTTTGTTATATGCTCAAACACAGTGTATACATATATATAATTTTAGAGATTTCTTTGTTTACGTCAAATTTTTTGTCTGCATCAATTTTGATATTTTAGTCGGTCATGAGTATCTTCCAAACAATCATTTTACTTTTCTTATGATAAAAATCATAAAATGCGGAATTCCTTCCCAAAATAAAAATAAAATTCGGATTTAAATTAAACCAACATATTTCTAACAAATAATATGCTCATGTTTATATTTACTAAGTATAACATTAAAAAAAAATTAAGGATAGTAAATATAATCTGCTTACCAAATGATGGAGATACTCAAGACTCCAGCTGTAATACATCTTGCATGCAATGTCTTGATATTAGCCTCCTTTTGTTCACCCACTCTCTTCTCTTCTTCTTCTCATTTATTTATGTTAATTCTCTTCCACTAGCACTATATATACCTCTCTCCCTTCTTCTCTCTTCCTCACATTCCTCACCAAACCCCCTCAAAACACACCCACACGTACGCGCACACACAAAGACAATGTCTCCTTTCAAAATATTCTTCTTTACGGCTCTTCTCGTGGCGGCGTTTTCATTCTCCGCCGCTGATTTCAATACTGACGTCAACGTAGCTTGGGGAAATGGCCGTGGGAAGATACTCAACAACGGCCAGCTTCTTACTCTCTCTTTAGACAAATCCTCTGGTTCTGGTTTTCAATCCAAAACAGAGTATTTGTTTGGAAAGATTGATATGCAGATTAAGCTTGTTCCTGGTAACTCAGCAGGAACAGTCACAACTTTTTACGTGAGTTTCACTTTCTCTAGGAGTTTTAAGTGATTTTGGATTTGACCTTTAAAGAGTTTATCTTGACATTTCTGTGTTTGTTTTTGTTGAACTTTCAGCTAAAATCTGAAGGATCGACTTGGGATGAGATTGATTTTGAGTTCTTGGGTAATATGAGTGGAGATCCTTATACTTTACACACTAATGTTTACACTCAAGGCAAAGGTGACAAAGAGCAACAATTCTATCTCTGGTTCGACCCAACCGCAAATTTCCACACTTACTCAATCCTCTGGAACCCTCAAAGAATCATGTAAAGTCCAAAATCTCACCTTTCTTGCTACACACGTAAACAAACCCTAATTACTTAACCCTAATCTGTTCTGTTTTTTTTCTTTGTAATCAGATTGACCGTCGATGACACACCGATTAGAGAGTTTAAAAACCATGAGTCTATCGGTGTCTTGTTTCCAAAGAACAAGCCGATGAGGATGTACGCAAGTTTATGGAACGCAGACGATTGGGCAACTAGAGGCGGTCTTGTTAAAACTGATTGGTCTAAAGCTCCATTCATGGCTTCTTACAGAAACATTAAGATCGACTCGAAACCAAACTCCAACTGGTACACTCAAGAAATGGATTCAACAAGCCAAGCTAGACTCAGATGGGTTCAGAAGAATTACATGATCTACAATTATTGTACTGACCATAAGAGGTTTCCACAGGGAGCCCCTAAGGAATGCACAACAAGCTCATAGAATCTTTATTTATTTATCTACCTTCCTCTCTTTCTTCTATGTGAAATTGTGAATGCTCTGTTTCTTGCTTGTCTATTATGTCTGAGAATTTCTTTTTCTTTTTATGGTTTTTGATTCTTTTCATTGTATATCTTTGTCCAATAAAGGAAACGATGTGTCTTTACTCTTATAGATATGTATAAAAAGATGTCCCTGTTTTATTTGTAAAAAAAATATGTTTATGATAATGATAGTTCTTTCTTCTTCTTCCTTTTTTCCATACAAAATTTGATAGTTTAATTTGCTTCTTTTTTTTTTGTAATTAAATAATTAATTTACTTACATTGTAAGAAATATGAGAAACGTGTTAAATGCATCTTATTTAAATCCAATTATTGAAAAAGCTCATAATATCAAAATTTATTTATTATATCGAAAACTTACATACATTCTCTACCTTGAGTTTTATCTCAAATTTATTAACCAATCACATGCTTTCATAGAATGAGATCATGTAAAACGATGTCGTTGCATTTCTACGACGTCGTTTAAAGTGAAGAACATTACGTCACACGTTTATTTTAATATTAATTTATTTTCTCTCTTTTAGTAATTTCGACTTCTCTTCTTCGTCAGATCTGAATCTAATTTCGCCCAAATCAAAGCTTTTGACCTAATCGTTTCCCGGGAAAAATCAACAAACAATCACCGGTATCTCCAATTTCTCTCCGTTGAAGAAAAATGTCGCACAACGATACGATTCCGCTTTATCAATCATCTCAATCAGACATCGACGAGATTGAGAATATGATGAACGATAGTTTCCAATCAGGTCCCGGAACCGTTCTTCCAGCTCGACCACCGAGTCCGATACGTCCGTCAATTCCCGTTTCATCCTCACCGTTCGTTCAATCCAATCTTCCACCGCTTCCACCTTCGTCTTCTTCCTCTCAGAAGGTGATGCCTGTTCCAGCTCCTCCGCCGCTTCCGTCGGTAGGTAACTCCAACAGCTCCGATGGTAACAAGAGCATTGGAGGGAGTGGATTCGGATCTCCGCCAAATACATTGACGGAGCCTGTATGGGATACTGTGAAGCGCGATCTGTCACGGATCGTGAGTAATTTGAAGCTTGTGGTGTTTCCGAATCCGTATAGGGAAGATCCTGGGAAAGCACTTAGGGATTGGGATCTATGGGGACCGTTTTTCTTCATTGTATTCTTGGGGCTTACTCTTTCGTGGTCTGCTTCTGTTAAGAAGGTAAGATCTTCATTTCAGCTTTGTTCATTGGAAGTTGGAACCTTTATGGATGCAGGACTCTGTACATTGGCTATGCGATTGTGTGATCAATTTATGAACTTGGAATCTTAGCTTTAGCTAGTTCTATTAAAATGTGATTTGAGTATTCCTTATCTTCGGAATGTCCATGTACTCGGAATGATGTTTTTAGATGTACACTCATTGGTGACATATTGGCTAGATTGAGAGTTCCTCTAGAATGTTGGTTCTTGTAGCATTGCTTTTAATTTGATTCTTAGCCTTAGGCAGCCATTGTTACTACTACCACAGAAGTCGGATTTTGACTTGTAGAGTTGATTCGATGAGCAACAATGAACTCATTTGGTGCTTTCTAACTATTCACTCTTCCTTGTGTTACATATAGAGCATTTGATGTGTAAGATCTGATAGACAATTTATGATATTAGACACTTTCATCTTGAACTGATGTAGCCACAGCTTTTCTAACCGTAATGGATGATGGCATGACTGGTTGGTCTTTTGGTTTATATATTAGGATTTGCCAACATGTTCTATAATGAATATCAAAGGTCAAAATGAGACCTTTCCGTTTTGCTGTGTTGGAATGCACTTGAAGTATAGATCATGTATCTGATAAGGAACGAATTGGTTCTGTATGTGTGCTCTGTTTCGACGTGAAACATATTGTTATGGAATATCTTACATCCTTGTTTTTATTTCCAACTAAAACCTGCTTTTCCCAGCATATATAACCCGAGTTATCTAGGTTTTGAATCCCTGAAGTAAAAAGGCACTAGATTCTCACATATCTGCTAGAATAATTTGTCTATTACCAATTACCCTTTGGTCTCATTCGTTTTCTCTGTGATGTCCAGTCTGAAGTATTTGCCGTGGCATTTGCACTACTTGCAGCTGGAGCAGTGATCCTCACACTAAATGTGCTGCTTCTGGTAAGCACTCATTTGGTTCATGTATTGGTTACAAGCCACATACTTTACACTTTTGTGTTACAAGTTTTGATTTTTAAACATCCCATTTTCTTTTTGTCGTGAACAATGCAAATTTCAGGGAGGACATATAATCTTTTTTCAAAGCCTAAGCCTTCTGGGTTACTGTCTATTTCCGCTGGACGTTGGAGCAGTGATCTGCATGTTGAAGGACAATGTGATACTCAAAATTATCGTTGTGTCTGTGACTCTTGCCTGGAGCTCTTGGGCTGCTTATCCTTTCATGAGCGCCGCCGTGAACCCGAGAAGAAAAGCTCTCGCACTTTACCCGGTCTTCCTCATGTATGTCTCTGTTGGCTTCTTGATCATTGCCATTGATTAATTCGAGCTGGAAAATGGAAATCAGAGAAAAGTTCTTTGAATCAGTTTGGGAAATCATTTGGTACAGAGTAGATAGAGAATTTACAGCCGCGAACTATTCTGAGTTCTAATGAGATCATATGTATAATATGTTCTTCGACGCTTTTTTGTTAAACTCTGGTCGACGACTTTACTCGATATGGTTTTGCTTGGTGTATGAAACTTACGGTTCTTTTTTGGAAACGTATATATAATATTAAGACCTTGATGATCGTAGCTTTAATTTGCACAGTACTTATTATTTTTGGTTTTCTACTACTATTTCTTCTCGTTTTTGCATTACCAACACACAATAACACTAATCTTAAGTACTAATACTATATATTGGAATTTACAGAAATAGCCATTACATAATTCTTATCATTTTAGGGATTACCAACCAACTAGTTTGTGTGGACACACAATAAGCATTTCCATTATTATCCAACTAAAAGTCTAATCCGATTTTTTTTTTGTAATTGTTGTTTTAATTTGGTCATGCATTATACTAGTGACCAAATGTCAATATCGAGAAGCTCTTGCTAGAAGAATCTACCAAATAAACCTTTAACACAAAGAAGACTAAATCTTACAAAAAGGAGATTCGAATTTGGGCGTTTACAAAGTCAAGCTGTGGGATTTGTTTCTTTTTTTCGTGGATTTGTTTTAAAGTTTATGATATTATTTGGCGAAACAAAAAAAATATGGAAATTTTCAAGCTTCCAGGAAAATTTAGCTGAAACCACAGTAAATAAAACTATAGTGAACAAAAAATTGTCCAAATTTTTTTTATGTGATTGCTAATTAGACAAAGGAACGAATTAGAATCTGGATGAAATCTTCTTCTTTTCTGTTGCATTTAATTTCAGAGATTATAGCTTCTGTGTCACACAACCATCAATTATTTATTAACTTTTGTCTTTTCAAGTTGTTAAATTTTGTTTGGTAGTAGTAGTAAGTAAGTAAGTTTTGGGGGACGAGTGTGGCAGAGAAGTGGGGTGTGGCTCTCGAAGTGATAATGTAAGAAGAAGACAGAGCTTGCTTGTGTACTACGTCATCTCTTTATTACTCTTTTTAGTTTATTTTTACCTCTTCAGGTGAAATGTGACTATTCTCTCAAACAGACCAATTGTAATATATAATTCCTTATACTGCCCAAATGATCATCATTTTCATAAATTTTGAATGAAGAACAACAAAAAAATGAAGAAGAGAATAGATTGTCTTGTTAATAGTGAAGTGAATGATTCTTTTTTGTTTTTGAAAACTGAAATAGAAAATGCCAAAGAGAGTCAGTTTCAGAAGGTACCATCATTACAAACCCTAATACTATAAAATGCCAATTGTGTGTACTTGAGGAGGCTTTTGTAACATAACATAATAATATAGCCTTACAACTTTTGACATTTAATATTGGTTATTTATTGTTGGCTCTTTTGGGTTTAGCTCGGAACCAGAGGATACAAAACTCCAAGACCAGAATCATCAACGGATCTCTGCACAGAATCTTTGGTCCAAAATTTTCCCCCACAATATCAACCAATGGTTTTTTAGATACCTAATTGTTTTCTATTCGTACATAATTTTCAAATTTTTCAAATTAGGCATGGAAATGAATTTTAAAACATTACAATTGGTTCTGTGGATCGATATGAACCAATTTGAGTTAATTCAACCTATCATTACTTAAGTTTGTTCTACACATTTTTCACAGTAACTTCGAAAAGTTCTTTTGAATTAAGTAGACAAATGATACATTAAAGGTTTTGGTGTTGGGAGATTCCACAGTTCTGCAAAAGTGACTCTAGTAACTTGGGCCTTATCTACTGTCATTGTCATTGTGTGTCATCTCCTTTTACATATCTCACCAATTTCCCCCTATTTAAAACATCTGAAAAACGTCAAATATTTATTTATTCTGTCGGCAAAATGAAAAATCGATTATTTGTTTTCCATTCTCATAATACGATTGACAACATATACTATGAGAAATTTTGCTCAGCCATAATAATATGATTGAGACTAGTTAGATTGAAATTAAGTCTATAAGGCTCATCTTAGAAGAGCAAGTTTCAGCTTGGCAACTAGTAGTCTCTATAGTTCAAGGTCTTCCAAATACCATCTATCAAAAAGAAATGTTATATGAAAACAATTCAAGCTGTATATACCCATTAATCTCGGAGTTCAACAGATATATTATTATTTTAAAAAGTGTTTTCAACTAATTTGGGGTTGTGATGAGGTTTACTAATGTTGGAACTAGATGGAGATGGAGATGTGAAAGAAAGTTGATAGAGTTTTGAGTATTATGGTGAATTGGTGATAGATGTTGATATGCAAATGTAGACAAACAATGGTGTCCCACTTAAATTCGAGTGTCCTAACGAATAAAATCACAAAGTCCCAACAAAACAACACAAACCCAACTGTAAGTCACATTCACAAACCCTAATCTAGACCCTCATGTTCCCTTTTGCTTTTACTAGTTTACTTATCAATTTCGTAAAGAGACTACTACATTACAAATATACAATGATCGTTATCCTTTGCACTAATCTTAATATGATAAAACTTTCTTTTAAATCTATCCTAGCGAGTGCCAATAATACCGTGGATGACCGAACCATAATTTAAAATTTGCATCATTACCTAGAGATCATTATGTTTAATAGTATTATATTTTGAGCTGAGGTTAGGATTTTTACTAGTATGTTAAATGTAAAATTTAGCGTTTAGCCATTAAAATACTATTGGGGTTTAAAATATCTTTTTTTAATCAAATATTAATCGTAAATTGTAAATTCAAATTCGAAACAAAATGCTTTTGACATTTGTAATTTGCCTAAGATCTATGAAAAAGATGAAATAATTTAATTTGATGCTAGTATTTTCATAATAAGAAATGAGTACATGCAAAAACTCGTTTTAGTGATCAAGTTTTCAGTACTGACCAAGAGAAACCACAAGTAGACACGAAATAATTTTTAGACCCCCCTTTGAACACTAGAACCAATCAATAAAACAAAACCACTTACTACATTGAACCAATCCAGCTAAATGATCTGTTCTTCGCTGTCTCGTAAAAACTAACCCTCTTTTGGTATTTAATTTTTAATTTTTAACTATTTCTTGTCGTTTGTGATGTTTTTCTCATTGTACTTGTTTGTCCGATTCATGTAGCGTAAGAGTAAAAACCTATCCATTTCTTTGGTACCGTCCTTTATATTCTCTTTTTATCATTCTTCACCATTCAAGTTTCTACCTTTTGCCCAAAATTTTTTTAAAAGTTATTTCATAGTTTCATCTTTATCACATTGTTGGACAAAAGGAAAAGTCGAATAGTATCCGATGTGAGATTTACATGTCACATAACCATTACCTCTCGGTAGTCACATTCAATCGATAACTTGTAATTGGTTTTTGTAAGCCTAGAAACCATAGACCTATGAAATAATTGAGTAATAGTTGCTCATATAATTTGTACCATACACAGAACACAACAAAATAAATGGTAATATCCGCAAATATCAATACAATTTCTTTTGTAAAATAGAAAAGTAAAATATCTCCTCGACTCCTCAAATTTTGCTTATAAATTGAGGTGAGCCCTTATTTCATTACTTCAACAAATTCCACCAACGTCACTCTCTCAAAAGCCTCAACCAAAGATTTTCCCTCCCAAATCTCAAGAACAATAACTTCAAAAAATATACTCTTATTTTCACAATTTAGCTAAACCCACAATTTCTCTCCTCATTTAACCACAAACCCACTTCTCAATATCTCTAATTTACTTTTAAGAAACCAATCTTCTTTTTTTCTCTCTAAAAAAACAGAGTAAGAAAATGAAAATGAGTGATTATTGGACAACAATGGCTTCTCTAGTCGGCATGTTAGCCTTTTGTCAAACAATCCTCCAACTCGTGTTTCCGCCGGAGCTCCGACTAGCTTTCCTCCACTTCTTGACACGCCTCCGCCACGTGTTCTCTTCTCATATCTACTTCGACATAACGGAGATTGACGGCGTCAACACCAACGAGCTCTACAACGCCGTTCAACTCTACCTCAGCTCTTCCGTCACCGTCAACGGCGCCGTTTCTAGCAGCAACAACAACACACGTCTCAGCTTGACACGTGTCCCTAACTCAAGCTCCGTTACTTTCGGTCTCTCCAACAATGACAGAATCACCGACGTATTTAACGGCGTCACTGTCCTTTGGGAACACGTCGTTGTTCAACGTCAAGTCCAGAGCTTTTCGTGGAGACCAATGCCGGAAGAGAAACGAGGGTTTACGTTACAGATCAACAAAAGAGACAAAGCCCTTGTCCTAGATTCTTACCTTGATTACATTGTCGGAAAATCAGAAGAGATTCGTCGGAGAAACGAGGAGAGGCTTCTTTACACGAACTCGAGAGGTGTTTCGCTCGATGCGAGAAGCCATCCATGGGATTCTGTAAGATTCAAACATCCGAGCACGTTCGATACTCTGGCTATGGATCCTGAGAAGAAGAAACGAATCATGGAGGATCTAAGAGAGTTTGCGAATGGACAAGGGTTTTATCAGAAAACGGGTAGGGCTTGGAAAAGAGGTTACTTGTTGTATGGACCACCTGGAACTGGCAAGTCGAGTTTGATAGCTGCAATGGCGAATTATCTTGGTTACGATATTTACGATCTTGAGCTCACTGAGGTTCAGAACAACTCTGAATTGAGGAAGCTGTTGATGAAGACTAGCTCTAAGTCGATTATTGTCATCGAGGACATCGATTGTTCTATCAGTTTGACAAAACGAGGAAAGAACAAGAAGAAGAATGGGAGCTATGAGTATGACCCGGGTTTGACAAACGGGTCAGGTTTGGAGGAACCGGGAAGTTCGGTGACTCTCTCGGGGCTATTGAATTTCACTGATGGGCTTTGGTCTTGTTGTGGGAGTGAGAAGATCTTTGTGTTCACGACAAATCATATAGAGAAGTTGGACTCTGCTCTGTTGAGAAGTGGGAGGATGGATATGCATGTTCACATGGGTTTTTGTAAGTTTCCGGCTTTAAAGATTCTGTTGAAGAATTATCTGAGGCTTGAGGAAGAAGATATGGATAGTGTTGTTTTGAAGGAGATGGAGGAATGTGTGGAGGAGGCGGAGATTACGCCGGCTGATGTTAGTGAAGTGTTGATTAGGAATAGGAGTGATGCGGAGAAGGCGGTGAGGGAGCTTGTGAGTGTGTTGAAGGAGAGAGTTGTGAAGAGAAGGAAGAGTGTTGGATTGAAGAAGAAGAAAGAGGAAGGTGAAGAAGAAGAAGAAGCAGAGGAAGAACAAGAGAAGAGAGCTTTGGATAGTCCTAATCGAAACAGAGAGGTTTTTGGGTTTCAAGATGAAGAAGACGAAGAAGAAGATGAGAAGGAAAAATGAATGTAGGATCATCATCTAATGGTTCTTGTGTGTTTTTAATTATCCGTTTTGTTTAATTAGTCAAAATTATTATAATATATGATTAGTTACTATATGGTATAACGTTATCCATTTTGGTGTACTCAAGTCAAAACTATAAGCAGTTAGGCACTGTCCAAAAAACTTACTTTTGCTAGAAGGTTTAGTATTAACATGAGCCTAAACCTATAAACAAAACTGGATTATGTATACACTGATGCTGCAGTAATTGGACTCATTTAATAGGCCTACCACTTTGTTGTCTCAAATTTTCGTGTCGGTTACGTTTGTTTGGTCGCTGGACTCTAAATGCAGCTAAAACGAAAAATGGTTTTTGGTAGAAGAGATAAATAAAGAATTGACGTTTGATTGTTTGAATGTTTTAACTTGGTTAGAGCATGTATATGGGTCATACTCATATAGTATCATTAGGAATTTTTTAGTATTATTTATAATGTTTGTTTATTGTTTGAGATTTTTTATGATATTCTTACTAAATATGTTTGCATTGGTGAGACCGGTTTAAGTATCATAAAAAAAGAAATTTGCAAAATCAAAAATTAATATATTAAAACATAGGATTACAAAAGGTAATATTACAATTAATTAAAAAAAAACGTAGAATATATTTAAGCAAAATAAAACATAAAATTTAAAAAACTGAAAAAATCATGATGATAAAGGAGGAGAGAAGAATGCGAAAACAATTTTTTTTTTTTTCTCTCTTTTCCCGCAAAAACGCGTTTCTCCCGACAAATCCCGAGCCGCCACGTCATCAGAGACTGGTATCAAGAGTATCACTTCAGTGATACTACTCAGGCCCAAATCAGTTGTTTTACCCATTAATTTAATGTTTTTGGGCTTCTGATACCCATAAAAAATCTGCTATGTACATGGTCTTAGTGTCACACCCTTTATACATGTTATGTCAAACCTGTAGATTTCAGAATTTTGTTCAAGAAACCAATTTACTCAAGAAGTGACACTAAAGAATCATCACATCAGACACTTCTACTTCAAGCTAGAAGTGACCTGAAAAATCCATCAGTTCTTTTCCTTATAATCTTGACCGCTGAAAGATTTTGATCTTTGACATATTGTAGTAATGAAGCCCAATCCAAAGAGAGTGGCATCAGAAAAAAGTGTCTATACTATGGCCCAATCTCTGGAATTTACCATGATGAACCACCGGTTCATGTCTAAATTAGAACAAGAACCTGTCTTGGTTACTAAATAAAACTGAAAAAACAAAAAACCAACATTAAGGTTGTGAATTGAAGTTTTTATTTTATGAATTTCAATTAAAATTTTGATATCCCATGCGTTACACATGCCACCCTAATGTCTCCTACTCTCCATTTGTGAAATAGGAAAAAAAAAAAAAAAAAAAAAAAGTCATCAACATTTGACTTGTTTAAAATAATTAAATACTAATAATCTACTACAAAAATAAAATAAAAATGAATACTAATAATTTAATGAGTTGGCGAACAATTGATGTTGCGGCAAACCGGTAGGCCCAACAATAACACGGACATTCTTGATGTTTTCTTGGCCTAGCAGTAATCTCCTGCGGCTAAGACCATACTTACTTTACGTTAACTACCAAATAGAACAAGCCACGTGTAAAACATGGTCAATTTAGTGCAGGCCTCTTTTATTAATCTTCCATTAACCGTGAAGAAGCAAGAAATATTGAAGAAAATAAAAATAAAAAACGGAAAGCTGGAAGAAAAATAAAAATTCCTTCTTTCCTTCTGAAGCAAAAAAGGAAGAAGAGCAGAGAAGAGAAGGAAGTAGAATCTAAATTTGGATTTAAATCGGAGAGAGAATCTATTCCGACGAATTTTTTGGGTTGATTTGGATTTTTGTCGATTTTCGTTTGGTCTTAAATTTGAGGGGTTTTGGTGTGGTTTCGAAGATGATGGTAGCTAATAGCTTCGATCTGTGGCAAAAAGATGTTTTTTTCTCTGCAGCTGAGGAGGTTCAAGAATCTGCTGATATGTATGTTTTTGATTCTCTGTTTTGTTTCGTGTAGCTTGTGGTGTTGAAATCGGAATTTTAATGGAGAAATAGGGTTTATTAGAGTAATTCGAGTTTGTTGGGATTGGTTTAGCTCTAGAATGGTCTAAGTGAGAACCTTTGTGTAAAAGTGAGAACCTTTGTAAGGAATTGAGATATCAAATTTGAAATTTTGTTCCTTGTCTGTGTTGTATTTCCAGAATGGAATCTGCGTATAGGTTGTGGTTTAAACAGAAGAGAGACGGTCGAGTAACCGTAGAATCAGACGAGCTCTGCAAAGAACTCCAAGCTGCTTTGAGCACTGCTAAATGGCAGGTATGAAAGAATGGTCTTTTGATCATTCCCTGTTTTTTTCATGGTACTTCACGAGTGTGTTGTTTGAAATTTCATTTAAAAGTTTGAGATTTTGTTTGTATTGGGGTAATTTGAATCAGTTGGAAGAGTTTGAGAAGGCAGTGAGGTTGAGCCATGGAAATTGTCGAGATGACACTACCTTAACTAGGCATAAACAGTTTGTTGCCGCTATTGAAAACCAGATTTATCGAGTAGAATCTTCTCTGCAAGAGGCGTTAAGCGAGAATGGGAAACAACCTTTGCGTTGGGTGGATCTCAACAAAGAAGAGCGTGATGACCTTGCCATGTTTCTATCTGGATCTTCTCAGACATCAGAGAGTTTAAACAGTGATAGCATCAACTTGAGAGATTCCTCAACGAGTTCTGTCGCAGAGAATCCACGTGGGATGAATGGCAGAAGAGATACTAGATGTTATGGTGATAGTCCTGACTGTGTGATAGACATTGACGAGAGAGGAAGTCCTGAAAGTGGTGATGCTATGATCCGCGTTCAAGATGATAAAAAAGCCGGTACAAGAAGAACATGGAGTTCACCAAATGTACCGAATATCAGTGCGTTGAGGATTGATGTTCCTTTTAATGCAAAAGAAGAAGAGAGAGAGAAATTCCTGTCACAAATCGAAGACACTCCTAAAGAAAAAGGATCTAAACCTCTGTTTTGGCTGCAGAGATGTCGTGATTATAACCAAGTAAGCTTCTGCAGTTTAGATCATTTCTACACTATCAAATAGGATATCTTAGTTGTTTATCGTTGTGCAGCTTTTTGACAGAGTCAAGGTTTATCAAAGACGATTTCGCGTTCCATTAACCCGCCCGATTAAGCTCATTCTTTCCTTAACGCTAATCTTCTTTCTTCTATGTGAGTCCCTTGTCTTTTGGTTCTCATGAGTTATTGGCACACCACTGTTCCATAACAGTCTCTACTCTCTATAACTGAATCAGTTTCCTTGTTTATTCCCTTGCAGCATTCATCTTGAGAACTTAAACCGCGGTTTCAGAAACTCTCAAGAAACATTGACAGGTAAATGATATTATAGAATCTAAATCATAACTCCAAGGTAACTAAAACAATCTTTAAACGTTACACCCTTCTCGTGGATCTTCCAGGTTTTGTTATACAGATTCTTGTGTAATGGGCACACACGTTAGATGATGCTACATGATTCAACATCCCTCAAGAAGGAAGAGAGATTAAAAGCTTTGTCAAGATTCAAAAGAAGGACAAAGCCTGTTTTATTACTCTCTCTTATCCTCAGGGAACATATAGGAAACCTGTACATTTGTAAGATCAATTTGTAAAACTTGAAGTTACGTTTCGTAAAACATTAGATGTGTACCTAAAGAAAACCAATGCGTGTTTGTGTTCAATGATATCTCCAGTGTTTGTTTGTCTCTCAGATATTTTATTTTGGAACAAAACATTCTTTGTCCCCTTTCACTTACTTGGCAAGTCTTTTGTTCGAATCATTGTCTTACCTTCTTTTAAAATGCTCATTATAGTTGACGTGTCAATTTCTTTCATCACTACTTCAAATCTTAGTGTCACAGCCCAAAAGTATCAATTTAGGTCAATTGTAAACTAAGTAAAAGATCTTAATAGTAAGTCTCATTATAGTTGTTCGTATCATTTAGACACATGATAATGGTGAAAAAGATTTGTAAAGAAAGAAAAATGTCTAATAATTATTGAATCTAGAAGTCTCTGGACAAAAAGAAAGGTGCATGTCACAGTCTCTTAAGATGGAATTTGATCATAACTTTTATCAACCATGAATTTCGAAGCACAAATAAATGCTAAAAAAATGATACAACTTCCTGTCTAAATCATAAAAAATCGACTAGTCCCATTGGGAAAAGTAAGGTAATAAATTTTTTGCATATCCTTCTCGTGCCTCTTTTGATCATCATTCATTCCTCACCTAACCAATTAAATTTCAAAACGATTCTATTAAAATATATTGAAATATTCTAACAAATGAGCTGAAATACAAAATACAAAATAACGAAAAAATCAAAGAAAAAGAAAAAAAAAAGTGTGAATAAGATATATTATGGTCCAAACTATTATCGATTCACCAAATAAATTACAATATCGACATTCTTTCACAAAATAAATTAAACAATATCGATATTTCTTATACTAAATGACGTTCCTATCCTTTTTAAACAACAGCAAAGCAAGTACCGCGCACAATGTTCATAGGGATAATATAGTAATTTATGGATGGGGAATCCAAAACGGCGCCGTAGCAGCCACGCTTGTGGGCTTCTTGCAACTTAAAGCGTTGAGAAACCTCCAAGAAGGTGAAGGTGACGGTGACGGTGATCGAGATCTACGAGATCTCCGGTTAGAAGGAGATGGAAACATAACCGGTGGAATACTGCGGCGAACCTGGCGGCTCTTGATATCCTTGAGTTCGATCTCCGGAGGGAACTTAACCATTCCAAACATGATCACATACCATCTTGGCCTTACACATTTTCCACTTCCCGACGACGCCGTTTCAGCCTTCGTCGTGTTTTTAGCCGGTGAAATGTTTTCCAGTGGAAAATGTACGGTGGTTGGACCACGTGAGAGCTTACGGTAATCTAAAGAACGGCTTGTCCTCATAGGTCCCGCATTGTCACGACGTGCCACAGAACAACTACCTGGACGGTTAAGCTTATGGCCTTGTATGGCGGATAAGGACTCGGACCGTGCACGAATTCGAGGGCTAATGTGTTCGGGAGGTGAAAAGAGGGCATTTTGGTAGTTTAAAGGGATGAGTTTGCCGCCAAAGATTATGTTTTCTGCCGGAGAAACGTCGTAGGAGGTTGACGTAAGAAACTCAAAAAGTTCCGTTGACGGTTCACGGTGGTCTTCGGTGGTGGTTGGGGTGGCGGTGGGATTAGGGTTCTCGGCGTTGAGGGGAAGATCTCGGAGAGATAGTGCTTCTTCTTTTTCTTCTTCTAGGTGATGTTGAAAGGGTATTGGGAGTTTTGTAGGGTTTTGGAGATTGGTGTTTTTTGAAGTTTCCATGTTTTTTAGGGAGAGAGTAGAAAGACAATGAAGATGTTGAAAGTATTAAGTTTTTGTCCCCATATATATATATACAGGGCCTCTAGAGGGGTCAAATACTTTTACGAGAACTTAAAGTGGAAACTACTTTGTTTTACGGGTTAGAATTCTTTAGGTGTATGTCTTTCTATACATGCATATATTTGTAGATTTTTGACCAGCCAAAGTTTTGTGTTTGCCAAATTTCTCATGATCTAATTATTTCAGGGGGGTGTATATATGACATATTATTATGTTGTCAAGAAAGATAACACAATCTTACTTAAATATTTAACCACACAAAGTGTCTATATTAATTACTAAATCAAAAGATTAGTACTCTAGTCTTCATATATATCATTGATCATTTATTCATGAATCTTTCCGATTTTTCATCTCAGAAAATTTGGTTATTCAAAAGCCTAGTCAAGAATGATAGAGATAGAATTAGTCAAACACAAATTAATAATGTTTGAAAAATTGAGTTTTTAAATTTCTTCATGATGTAAAACTATGGTTGAAATGACTAAGTAGTACCACGATCACGCAAATTTGCATAGATAAAGATTTTAAAAAGCTAACTGATGGTATTGTATAAACTATAGATTCCATTATTCAAATGTGCACCTTCAAATTTTTTATTATATCACATTTCATTCCATTACTTTAACTTAAAAGGCATGTGTTATTTATGTATTAGAAACAATTAATTATTTAGACATATATATATATATATGTATATATATCGACATATCACCACTTCTATTTCAATATATAAATAATTAAAAATGTTTAGACAAATTTCTTTAGGTATATTTTCAAATAGGAGTGTATATTAAAATTGAAAAAAAAAAAAAAAGGAGGACAAGTTTACATACACAAACAAACTGTGCGAAGCATATTATTTGTGAAAAGATAGATAGTCGAGACTAATCAAGAAGAAGACATTGTGACAAAATAAAAAAACCAAGTGCTGAGGTAGAATTGTTGCGTGTAACTGAGGTCAGCCGAGAAAATGACTTTCGCCTGCTAACATTTCGTTTCGGTTATTTCAAACATTACCACGATGATTTTTAGTTTGTGGAATTGTAGTGATTAAAAAAACTCAATTGTTATTATAAGAACAAAACTAAAGGAAAGCAATTTAGAGCCACAAACTCCACTTTGTTTTTCGTTTTCAACTTACGCTGCAAGGCACAAGTCATAATTAGGTTACTGATCATATCCACATTGCTTGACCACAAAGTTTGATTTGTTTTCCTTTTTCATAGCAATTTCATATGGTGCGATGTTACTATTTTACCTTTAAAAGCAAAAAGTAAGATGATTTACATAGGAGTTCACTTAAAAGTTTTTTTGTTCAAACAAAAAAAAATCATGATGTGGAGAACTTTTTCTATTAGCATAAGCATGCTGATTTTATAAGCGTTTCTCTTTATCATAATAAAAAGATAATGCTTTTTAATTTATGAAATGAATTGACCTCAAAAATGACAAATACTTTGCACTAGATGATGGTGACCTCAATCCTCAACTGATGGGTGGTTCACCCAATTCTCCTATATATATATGTGTGTGTGAATAACTCATGCTAATCGTTTTAATTTGGATTTAATATTTATAGAATTCTAATGGAATATATATAATTTAAACTATTAATTGGATGGTCAAAGAGTAAAAAGCCGGCTAATTGTTTTTAAGGCAAGCTGACAAAATTTGATCATAGTGTAAAGATCAATGCAACTAATGGACTTTTCTTTTTTCTATGAACGTCCAATCGCATAAAAGAAATGTAAGATATATAAAAAAATAAAAAAATAAAAACTATACTGGTAAATGTTGGACAAAAAATAAGAGAAACAAAAACAAAATCAATAAAACAGACAACACAAAACAGAAATCATATTAAAAGAAATATAACCTTCATGTTCTTCAAAAACGATTTCAAACGGTTTGGAGTTACTTCCAGATCCATCGCAATGGCTTGACTTCTATAACAGAAGGAAAGGGTATGTGCAGTTGAATCGTTTTTTCTCCAATACGCTGAGTTCCCAAACTCGATTGGAACTTTGCAGTTGCGTGTCTTGAGATTGAGCGAATTGATCCAAGTGAACTTGAGTGGAATGGTGGAGGGCGAGGTTTGTTGTTGCAAAAAATTTCCACCAAAACTCAGAGATATGCTAAACAAGAGTAAGGTTTGTAATATTTCTCTGTGAATATGATTTTCACATGCTATTTTATGTTCTTTGTTTTGATTTTCTAACACACCCATTTTTTTTTTTTTTGCATAATTCATGGTCATCAAAAAGCCTAGCAACTCATGAAGTTGAAATTTATGGGTCTTCGTTTTGGAGGTGTTGTTGATGTCGAGAAGAAGTTTCACAATGTTGTTCTTAATCCAGAGATCAAAGCCATGAGATCGCGATATTTAATCCACTTTGATCAAAAAAGATCTAAGGTTTGACAAATAATTGTACTAGAATGGCACTTGATGCTTGAGGTATTTTCATTTAAAAAATCGTAGTTTTTAAATGTGATTTGAGTTATGCACAATAAAGCAAGTAAGTCAATAAAACTATTTTTTTTAAAATCATATATAAATATATAGTCTCATCAATATTATAAATTAATAATTGTATAAAATTTTAATATATATACAAATTTTAGTGAAATATGACTATAATATTATTTATTTTTCTTAAATTTGTATTGTTTATTGGTAAAATATATTTCTAATATTTTTCTAACATTAAATATTTTAGGACTTTTTTAAAAAAATTACAAATTAGCCAACTTTTATATAAACTAATTTATCGATTTAATTGAATTTGAGGATTCCAACATTATTAATTTATAAAGATTTAACAGTTATATACTTAATCGGATTTTATATCTTAAAAGTTTACGGGCTAAGAATACTAGACTCATAGCTGTATTACGGCCCATTAGTTGTCCAACTTGCATGTTTTAAAATAGATTTGTGTCTAAGATTTACAAGTTGGACTACTAATGGGCCGTAATAATCTTATAGTGGGCCTTTCCAGAAATTTTACTCATGAGTCCCAATCAAAAACCCTAAAAGCTAGATCGAAGAAGATTTTGAACGCACCAAAAAAGAAGAAGAAGATTTTGACGCTCTCTTTCTCTCCCAATCTTCGTATCGTCGTCTCTTCCTTGGCTATCTCATGGCGGTAAGTTCCGATCTCTTTCCTCTCCCGTTGCTACTTTCGAGCTTCGCTTCATTATATCTTTCTTCGTTGAGCTCAGATTTAGAATTCTCTCTACTTGTTGTTATAAGTAGAGTATTAGGGCTTGCATAATCTGCAGAATTCGGTGTTCTTAGCTTTTTTTCCAGCTCCAGCTCAATTTTTGTCCTCTTTCTTATCGATTTATCTGATTACAAGTAGGTATCGGAGTATATGTGGATCAGGAATTTTTGGGTTTGATTTTAGCTGATACCATTACGAAATATCTAGTTTAGATTTTTTTCATGTAGGTAGCAATTGTAATTGAGTGTATAATTCCTTTGAATTATCCTCATTCTTGTTGAGGTGGAATAAAGAAGAATGAATGTGTTTCTCTTCCAAGAAAATTCCATAATGTTTTGAGTTCATTCGAGTAATATTTGATGATTCCATGTTTGTATGTGTGTTTGCAGACCATACCAGTTAACCCGAAACCATTCTTGAACAACTTGACCGGCAAGACTGTTATCGTCAAGCTAAAATGGGGAATGGAATACAAAGGTATCTTTTCTTTTTCTTATGATGATGTGCTTTTGATGATAACCAGGGCTTATAGCTAACAGTCTTCCTTCAATTTCACAGGTTTCCTTGCCTCTGTTGACTCCTACATGAACTTGCAGGTGCGTTTTTAGCTTCTATGTTCAATTCGAGAATTAGAAAATTAGATAATAGCTTTTTGATTGAACTTTGTTATTGAACTTTAGAGATTGATGTTATGTTGTCCAAAATCACCTGCTAAATGGTCCTTCTGCTTAAAAAGTTTAGAGGCAATGTTGTAATCAATTATTAGTGATTATAATCTTCTATACAAATACATAGATTGTTATTCATTGTAGCCATTGACATTTTCCATACTGTTTTGCAGCTAGGAAACACCGAGGAATACATCGATGGACAATTGACAGGGAACCTTGGAGAGATCTTGATCAGGTAATATCACCTCGTTATCTTACTTATTGTTTCCTTATATTTCAGTTTTATGTTTCACAGTGAAGAATTGGAAATCACTGTTATCTCTGTTAGTTTTGGAAATCACTAAACAACAACCAGTTTTGTAATTGCTTTATTTTTTTTACGGCTCCATTGAATTAATTTACCGAATTATTGCCCACAGATGCAACAATGTCTTGTATGTCCGAGGTGTGCCAGAAGATGAAGAACTTGAAGATGCTGATCAAGACTAGAGGACTTAGAAATTGCCCGCCCGTTTGTATTTTTTTAGTCTTGTATTCTAATGAGCAATTCAACCCAGTTTGTGAGATTTCAGTATGATGTTCTTGAATCTTTTGACTTTGATGATACCTCGAATGTAACAAGCAGTTTAGTTTTATGATAAAACCAACTTCCTGCCGGGTTTTTAAACTTTACTTCATTGTCTTATTTTTCTTCAAATCAGTTTATGTTTCCAACAAAATGATTCACAGTGAAGTTTCTTTAGTTGATAATAAAAACTTTAGTTAGACACACATTCAGCATCTTCTCTCTGTTAGTTATGGTTTTATGGATTCATTACTAACTATCACGGTTTGTAATTTCTTCGAAACTTTCGGATCCATTGAACTAATTTAACGCAATTGTGAGATTTCAGTGAATCTTAAAGAGTTTGTTGATGATACCTAAAAAAGTAACAAGCCTTTTTTAATGAGAAACCATTCTTCTTGTCGTTTTTTTGTCATTGGGTTGAATGCATGTCGTTTTAACCACTATATTGGGCCTCAATTTACATTCAGCCCATCAAGTGGTAGCATAGCAATATTCGGAGAACCTTTGCGGTAATGGATGGAGTCTGGAGATGACAATTTTGAATGTACTCGATTGAAAAACAAAAACTAAAAAAAAAAAAGTTCGGAAGATTTGCAATATATTTAATATAGATGATCATTTTGATTTTATGAGAAGAATAGTAGTTCTACTGTAAATTTCCAGTTTAATTAATTTGAAAAGGCCAAGATAAGAAAAATAGTTTGAATTCAAACCATTAAAAGAAAAAAATTTCATTGGCCTTATGGTTTGTTGAAAAAAATACGGTTCAAAGTTAATGTAATGATCACAAGTCAAAATCCCTTAATTTATTTTGTTCCGCTGTGACGTTGACAAACATGTGAAATACTGAGAAATCAATTATTAAATCATGTGACATCATTTACACATGCATCACCTACCATGTCCACTTGATTTTTATTTACATATGACATCATCTTTATCGAGTAATAATTTCTTCTATGTTCTATTTCTTTTTGTCAACGGGTAATAAATTTTAGTATTCCTATACTTTTTCACATAGGAATACATACCCCGGCCTTTTAAAAAATACATCTGGAAATTTCTCGTTTTTCTTAGAGTTATATCAACTTTATGAATTTATTATTTAGACTTTTCTTAATAATAAAGATAAACTTGCTTGAAAGAGATGTATCTTATGCACCTCCACTTGCAGAACTTGATTGACATTTTCCTCCATACTTATTTTTTTTGGGGTAAAGTCATTCTCTCCATACTACGAATTAGTGATTTAGTTGCAATACATTGTAAATACCTTAAAGTTATTTTTGCATGGTTGGGTAAACACTATACTATGTAGCTTTTAATTTAGTTTATCAAAAAATGTCGCTTTTAATTTAAAAGGTAACGAACAATCAATTTTATGAAAAGATCAAAAGAAAATTAATGCTTAAAAGTCTGTCGTTGGAAGTTAGAATTAGTAGTACCAAATATACAAGATTAAACTATCACTAAATTTGGTGAATAAAATCAACAAAAAAATAATAATACATGCAGTACCATGGCAATTAAAGCCGACGATTGATTCCTATCGAGTATCGACTATACGTGGCATATCGTCGTTTATGTAATCGTAATATCTTATTTATTTCACTTAACGAATACTAATTTATATTCAAAATGATTATAAGACGAATTTATGAGGTCGAGAGAAGAAACACACAACACAAAAGTAGTTGGAAAGAGGAAAGAAACATGTTGTGATTGTTGTTGGAAAGTTTTCTGTCCACCTACTTATTTTGGCACGCGTCAATGTAAGTCACGTGTGCTAATTAAACCCTTAACTTATACGCTCTCACCTAAGTGCCCACCCACCAAACCCATCGGTCCATTCCTCATTTCCAATTTTCTTAAAATAATATTCTCAAGTCTCAACCACCAAAAAACACTTCCGAATGAACTAGAAGGTTTGCGCATATGGCTTTTTATTTCTCTCTATCATTATTAATCATTTGACTCTTGCATCCAAAGCACCGCGACTTATCTATCACCTTTTTGGTTGATAATGAACTAAAATGTTGGCAAATTTAATAACTAGCCTAGATAACTTAAGTTGCGAGTTTATTTGTACTGACTTGTTTTGACAAAATATAACTTTAATCTCTTAAACAAAATCTAAAACGTGTTTAACTTGTTGTATGCATGCGTAGAGTAGCACATATATTTTATGGATAACGTAAAAGTAGCAAATTACGTAACCGTGTATCTTAGCCGTTTTTGAGTAAGATATTGATTATTTCAAATAGCATGTTATTTTTGTTTCGTACGACACAAACACTGATAACACAAAAATTATGTTAATATGAAATGGGAAAATAAGGATAACACAACATTTTAAGAAACTGTCAAGCTAACATTTTCGTCCATTTTGAACCGAAAATGGCCTACTTAATGCTATAGTAAAAATACATGGTTAATTCACCTAAATTATTCTAATTCATTATCATTTTGCACATTTAACTAGTTATGTAAATCTGGCAAAGAAATTTCATAAGTTTTTTTTTTTCCTTTTTGGTCAACAATTGTTGGTCTTTTTTTCTTTCTTGTGTTATGGTCTAAAAATTTTGGTCTTAAATAGTTAATTGAGACATTCACAGTAGCGAAAAGGATTATTGAGGCATATAACTACTTATAAAACAAAGAAATGCTATTCGTCCCAAAATGGGGACTTAGTTTAAAGTGCTACATAAGTTCATACTAAAGGTAACTGACTTTGTATATAACATAATTGTTCACAAATACCCCATCACATCTTATCCATTTTTTTCTTACTTTTGGTAGGGGCTATATAACAAGAGTTAAAAAAAATAGAGTTGTCAAAATATATGAAAAGAAATTAAAAATGGAAAAAAAAAGGGGGAGGTTCCTTTCTTCTTGCGATCACAAACTTAATGATCATCATAATGTGGCAATTTCTGTGCCGTATATATATATAAATATAAGTACACAGTGAGTGTGTGGCTTCAATAGTTTCGTTACCATACATCTCTAAGATATCTTCCAGTCGTTTGCAGATTCTTCACAAAGCCCTCTGCTTTGGTTGAGTCCATTGACCCCTGAAAACAAGACAGAGACAGAAATAAACTCATTTTAGAGTCCGGTTTGTGATTTGGACAGTGATAATGTTAGATTGATCTCAACAAGACATACCTGTTCTTGAGCTATTGTGTGGAGAGATCTGTGAACATCTCTTGCCATGCCTTTGGCGTCACCACAAACATATACATAAGCTCCTTGAGAGATCATGTTCCAGATATCAGAAGCCTGCATTGCAAAAAGAATGTCAGCTCAAGAATCTGAATTTGAATCTATACGAAGATCTGAGTTTTGGGTTTTTATGAGCTCATACCTTGTCCATCATCTTGTGCTGTACATATTCTTTGGTGGGTCCTTCACGAGAGAAGGCGACGCTTAGCTCTGCGAGAGCACCACTCTCAACAAATTGCTGGAGCTCTTCCTCGTAGATGAAATCCTGCAAATATCAGAAGACTTGAGAAACTGGACAAACCGTTGATAAAAGTTTTGAGTTTTGAGAAATGGCTTTATTACCATTCTACGGTTTCTGCATCCAAAGAACAAAACTGATGGTCCAAGTTCAACACCAGATTCTACCAACGCGAGTCTTTCCTGAAGGAATCCTCTGAATGGAGCCAATCCAGTCCCTGGACCAATCATGATGATCGGTACCTTAGAATCAGAAGGAAGCTTGAAGTTGGATTGCCTAACAAAAATCGGCGCCGAGGAACAGTTTTCACTCTTCTCATATGGCACAGCATTCTGTGATTACGATAAAAAAAATAAGCACTCAGCAAAAAGACCAAGACAATGGATAAGAAATGACACAAACAGTAAAAAGACTACAAAGCAATATGTTTGCAAGAAGCTGCCAGATTTAAGGTTTTTTTTACCTTCATCCAAGTCGAACACACTCCCTTATGAATCCTGCCAGTTGGCATCTTCTCATAAACCAGTGCACATGTGACGTGAATTCTAGTTTCAGCAATCCTATACAAGTAAACGGGACAATGTTCAATACACTAAAAAACACAAGATAAGTCTCAAGCGAACACAACACAAAAAGACCAAGACAATGAAAGTACTCACTTGGGAGATGATGATATCGAATAGAACCTAGGCTGCAACCTTGGAGCAACTCCAGCGAAGAAGACACCAAGTGGTGGCTTGGCTGAAGGAAACTCGGCCATCACCTCAAGTAGACTTCTTTGACTCTCTACTACCCACTTTGAATATTCATCCTGTTGTTAAAAGAACACAATATATACATTGTCAGATTGCATTTTAAAGAAATGTAAAATGAAGAGTAGTACCAACAAAAAGTTAAGCCCCAACCTTTCCAGCAGGTGAAGCAAGGTGTTTTAATCGTTCTGCTTCGGTAGGATCAGATGCATGAGCAGCCAAAGCAACTAAAGCAGACTGTAAGAAAACAAACATGAAAACAATTGAGTTCAAATCTCTATGATGACAAACAAAACTGATGATAACCAGTCTAATGGTGAATGAATCCAACCAACCTTCTTAGGAGAACTCAAAAGACATGCATATCGTGTAAGCGCTGTTCTCAAGTTGCAAGGTGGGAATGGAGGAGGAAGCGAGCTGCTGATTGGTGTGCCGTCTTCTTTTTCAGCGTGAAGTGAGAAATAAGTATCAGGTGAAATATCCAGCAATCTAAGCGCTTCATCTACAGTTTCACTTAAATTATCACAAAGTACACCAACATGATCTCCAGTTTCATACCTGACAGACAAGATACAAAAAATACATTCATGTTATTCTTCAAGAATATTTCCCTCTGATTCTGTAGACATTCATATAGCAGTAAAACTCACGTAAGTCCACTTCCAGCAATGTCAAATTCCAAATGGATACAAGAACGATCAGACTCAGGAGTATGAAGCTCCCTTTTCGCCGCGACATTTGCCCTTTAAAGCCCAAAAAAACAAAGAAAGGTTAGATCAAACAAAAAAATTCACGTAAGTCCAAGAAAACAAAAAGAAAAGAAGTGGCTTGCTTGTGTACCTATAAGGATGTTGGGCATCAAACACAGTGTAACCATTCCCATTGGCCATATTTTTATCATTGAATTCGGCATCTTCAGAGTCGTGAATAGAAACTCTGTATTCTAACACAGCTGCAGTGTATGGTGTGGCAACAGCTGTATCAC